AGCGAAAGCATCTCACTACAGAAGTATGAGTTTAAAGTCCTGTTCCAGAGATGCACCTTAGCAGGTCTAACAAACCTTCAGGTCCTCTTTTCTGTATTTGTGACCCATAATCTTACTAGCTCTCCAGTTATCTACAGTTTTCCAAGGCGAGTGGACAAGATTACATTTCTAACACTAAAAATTAGAGCAGCAAAAACAGACGCCTGTCCCTTTGAGGCACACTTCATATGTATGGAGGAGTGACCAAAAGTCAGAAAACCCCTTCTTCCCTGTCTGTAGATAACTTTAAGGATGCTATCATTAAATGCTTTGTGACTTTTGTCTATTGGAATGACTGTGACCAGAGAGGCGAAGTGGGCTGAGTTCTAGCCTGAAGTTCTTGTGAGGAGCACTTTAGGAGGCTCAGCCTGGCGCATTTTGCAGTAAACTGTCACGGTAAATCATTTCATAGGTAGAACATCTAGATGCCCTTTTCACCCTAGGGAAAATGGTAGTAGGCTACAGAGACTGCTCTCTGATAGGTTTCCCATAAGGTTTCATTTAATTGGATGAATTAGTTGCTGTGTTAATACTGTAATTTTGTAACAGTTTTGTTGCAAGCCTGGCTGGCTGCCTGAGGAGGAAAGAGGCCCTGAGGGAGCTGGAGAGGAAAGCCTGAATCCGAGGGAGGGCAGAGGGAATGGTGCTGGCACAATAAAGACTTTGTTTGGAGCTGAGCAGTCTTCTGTGCTGTTTGCGATGTGGCATTCTGATTCTCCCCCTGCCCCCAGTCTTTGAAGAGGAGAACACCCCTTCCCTCCTCTCCCCCACCTTCCCAGCAGGTGAGCAAAGAAGGAACTCTCCGAGGTGGGGGTGGTATGGATGGCTGTGGAAGCCAGGGACAGAGAAGAGTCAAGGCCTTGAAGCCACAGACTTGCCCCTTGAGAAGCCATCAGAGCTAAATTCAAGGGGTCCTTCAGGAGAGGCAGGGGAATAAGCCTTATTAGGGAGTCCCAAAGCAGAGCTTCTCCTCAAAGACAGCCTGATCCAAGGTTGCATGTGTCATCCCTCTTTTTAAAAAAGTTTTAAATATCCTTAAGAACATCTTCACATAAAAATTTAAAAATATAAACCCAATTTTTTCCGAGTCTGTGCATCTTGTTATCAAATGTTCCTTTCCTAGATCTGCAAGCAGTGCTATGTATTAAAGCTATACAAACATCTCCATTAAAGTGAAAAAATAGAAAGGGAGACCTTGATCTTGAAAGGTGGAAAAAACTTGAGATAGGAATGGAAATAATAGGGTAGAGAAAATAGAAGATGCTATTGCCACAGCAACAGTCTTCAATACATTTGTATACAAGGAAGGAGGAAGACACCATTAGAATATTTTACCTGCTTAATTTTGGAAAGACGAGCCTGAAGCGGAAGACAAATTTACAACTCTTATTACATTGCAGGAAGAGCTGCAGTACTCAAAAAAAACAAAAACAAAAAACCATGGCTACATCTAGTTTGGGAGGCAACTTTTATTTAAATGTACTGAGGACATTATAGATATAGGTAATTTGGAATTTGTCACAATAACTATGGAAAATTTGAGGCCAAAGGACACGAAGTTGAGTAATAAAACTATAGAATTATTACCAGGTTAAACTTCAATCTGTTATTTCTGGTATCCCAATATTTTAGGTATTTTCTTTTTAATATCACTAATTAATTGAAAGGGAGGGTGCGGTTAGTGTGGAAGTTCTAAAAGCACTGTGCTTATTAAGAGAATGGGAAGGTCATGGGTCTGCTGAATACTTATTACCGTTCAAGGCACTGTGCTCTGGGAAATGACAGCCAGGAGGATGCATCAGAGGCTCTTCACATACAATTGAGGCTCATGTATGATGGGATGGAGAGGAGGAAGTTTCCAGTCAACTAGGTCACTTCAGCTACTTTTACCACTACACACTATTTATGTAACTTATGCATGACATAAACACTTTGTTTTTAGGGGTGTTTTAACCATTTATTAATGGCACGAACAGGCCACATTTTTAGCATGTGCTATTAGATCCCAGGTTTGTATAATCCAGTAGTTGACCACTATTTGCTCATTACTATGTAAGCAACTGCATAACTACTCATGTAAAGAGCCTTGTTGGCATCAGCATTTATCTCAGGTGGTTCATCACTAGTTGGTTATTTGGGGAGAAAGTCTGTAACTAGGGAGAAATACTGTAATTTCCTGCCGTGATCCTACCATGAGTAGGATTGGACAAGATGGACTTCCTAAGGGCAGGTTCCAGTCTTGCTTTTCTATGATTCTACCTCTAGGTTTGTTTGAATACAAAAGGCTTCAGTGACAATTTGGAAATTTCAGTAGGTATAATCTTAGCCCAACGTGCTTTGAAAAGAGGCATTGATGGCTCCTACCTCAGTGTTAGTCAGTTGTCTTCTGTTAGAGACAACACTGGGGATGGTGGAGTACAGACAATAGTTGACGGTGCTGTAGCTGAGAAAACATTAAAAAGGATTTCATAAGAGTAACTGAGTGATGATCTAAGGAAAATTACCAAGTTTCAGGTGCCAATGCTAGAATGCAAGATCCACTACAGCAATCTTAAACTTGATATAGTCTAGCCAAAGCTGAAGGTAGTATAGTGCAACGGTCTTGGTGCAGGGTCATCCATGGACTAACCAGTTCTGAGAGGCATGCTAATTAGCCAGATGCAGTACAGCATTATGTGTTACTGCTATACTGCTTTCAGTTTGGATGCTAGCTATGGGCTACCTCCTGAACCACATGACTTGAAGTCCAGAATACTCTGTTGAAGTACGTAGTTTCAGCTCTGAATAAGCGCTATACTCTTATCCAAACTTATTATAAACAGTCAGTGCTCTTTAAGTATACAACATTATCAGTTCCATGATATTTACACCCCTAGCTCCCCACATTTTCAAGGCTTCTAATAGGAGCTCTGCAAGGGACTATTAACTTGAGAATGACAGAGGCTAGTCCATTTCCAAGCTGCTAATAGCACAATGCTGACAGGTCGGTGTACTTAAAAAGCCTATACGGCTGTCAGTATTGTGGTATTAGCAACCATGAAAAACTGACTAGCTCCTGTCATTTTCAAGGCTTCTAAAGCAGCCCTTTGACAGCTCCATTTACTCTTTCTGATGCAGGCTGCACACCATACACACGCAGGTAGGTGGCTGCACTCCCACCTCTATAGGGTTGTTGGTTGTAGCAGTGTTGATTTAAGAACCGTGTCTGCCTATGTCCTTTGGGTAGATGATATCACATTTGCCCAAAGAACCTCGTTTACTTCTATGTGGGTGGAAGGGTGCTCCACCACCCTGTTGGATGGGAGCAGACACTCCCACCAATCATCCCCTTGTGACTCTGTGCACTGCCTCACCTGGAGCTCCTGACTTTTCTGTGGCCCCATGCTGCACAGATGCTTCAGGCTGCTGGCTCACCTGGTGCTGTGAGTTGCTTCTGTGCTGTGCTGCTCCATCCTACCCTCTGGGAATGGATCAGACAGCAGAAGCTGAGGGAGGGTGCAGGAGCCCCAAGACCCTGGCTATTGCTACAGTCAGAGCAATGGGGGCAGAATCAGCTAGGTAGGAGCCTGGGGGTTGCATGTTTCATAGTTGTTAGGGGTTGGAAGGGACCTTACAGATCATCAGGTCCAGCCCCCCTACACTTGGGCAGGAAAGACCTCTCACATGCCACCGGTTGAACAGCTGTGCTCCAAGGAGACAATGGAGATTTGTTGAAGCCATCCTAAGTGTCAATCAGTGAGCTGTAGCCGACTGTTAGGAACAATGGATTAGAGTGTATGTTGAAGAGATCTGGATCACAGCAGGGCTTGTGTTTTTAGAGCCTTTACATGTATTGGATTTCCCAGGGACTACTTATGACATGCAGATGTGATTTTCTTTTCACTTGATTGCTACATTTGTGTTTGAGATACCAGGACTCATTGAGCATGACACTTGAATCTATTTGCTCAGCACTCCCACACAATCTACAATTCAGGGGAAAGTTAAGACCAAAGCCCCTAGATCAGTGGTTCTCAACTGGGGTGCCATGAGGTCCCCTCAGGGATGCTGCAGCAGCTAGGTCAGGGGTGGGCAAAATATGTCCTGCAGGCTGGATCCAGCCCTCCAGGCCATTCTACCTGGCCTGCAGGGCCCCTAAAAAATTCAAAAAATACTTATCTGCTCCTGGCTGCCTGTCAAAGATGATGAGAGCCAGAGGCAGTAGGACCCAGGGGGAGCCATCAGCAGGATGCAGCAGCCCAGTCCCGCCCCGCCCCAGCCATTTCCCTGTCTTGGCACTGGTCCAGCACCATGTAGATCCTGGCTGCATCACTGGACTACGGGAGCACAGGGCTGTGCCAGTATGGTGTGTGTGTGTGTTCATAGGGTTAGTCCCACAGGTGCACCCCACCATACACATGCACCCACACACACCCTCGCATTGCCATACATAGACCCCCACACCCCTTCACACACCCCAGGTACCCTCTCCCCACATACAACTCCCCACAAACCCGACATATCCACATCCATATCCCCTCACACACCACAGCCACCCTCCCTCCACACACATCCCCCCACACCTA